AACTTGGTCAACAAAAGGAAAGCAAGAAACAAAAGGAAGAACAATAGTCCGCAAGCGGACAAAAGAAAAAGAACCATCCGGCCGTCTAGCAAGCCGTCCGGCTGGCGAGCGGACAACAATGAAGCGGGCAACCTAGGTTGGAGGGTACGCGCGCGAGGGAGGAAGTGCGGATGAGGGTGACGGGTGGACGGATGGGTGGACGGATGATGATGATAGCGGGAGGGACGGACCAAGTGGCACTGGGGCGCATAGAGGGAGGTGACGGATATGTCGGGTCATGACAGGGGGAGAGGGAGGAAGGAGGGGGGAGGGGGATAGACAGTGGGGAGCGGGTGTGGTGTGGCCGGGTGGGTCCGGGTGGACCCGGGTCAGGCGGGTGTGCCCTGACAGCTACAGCCAGTTTGATTTTGTAATTTATGTCATCGTGGTCGACGACTGACATTGGGCCCATCCTTATGGTCCCAACGTTGACTTCCTCACCCTCTGAGTCAGGTGAGTATTGAGGTCCTTCGTATGGGTCCTCTACTTCAAAGCTTGATGCTTCGGAGTTACCAGGGTTGTTCTCTGGTTTCTCATCTGATGAGCTTTTCAACTCTTCATCCGTTGAGGTCGTGATCTCCATGGCAGCTATGCGCCTTGGTTTTTCATCGCTTGTTACATTGTGTCTTGGGCAATCTTTCGTTTGCCCTATTTTGCCGCATTTGCCGCAAATTGGAATTGACTTTTGGTCAGTTTTCCTCAAGTTTTTCGAGGATGTATCCTCTTTCCATCTGGGTTTCAGCTCTTCAGCCTTCTTTCCTGATGGGAGGGCTCTACCGTGGCTTGTGGTTGCTGTGGTAGTTGTTCGGGTATAGTAACCTGATTTGTAGGCTGAAGACATCTTCAGCCCATCGATTATCTCGTCTACACGAGATATTGCTTTTAACATCTCCTTGTTTGAGGAGAAGTCTGCTCTGATTCTATCGTGAGCAATCATTTCCCTCTTCCATTTGAGGGGAATGTAGTTTAGGAACCTGGCATTGAAGGACGCCTGGTCTGGCGGCATCACCATCTGGGACGCTGCTTTGGACAGTTCTAGGTAGAACTGTTTTAGGCCTTTTTCTGCTTCGTATTTGACGTTGCGGTACTTCTTTGTCGCGTTCAGCGCAGCAGAGGCTTTAATGAAAGTTCTCATCAATATGTTGAGAACTTTGAGGAACATGCCCTCGTCTCCTCTGAGGAGAGTTTTGTCTCGGAGTCTAATTCCGAGGTCGAACATGGGCCCCCCTAATCCATGAATCAAGCAGTCCAGGTGGACTTCATCGAATTGGGGACCTTTGCATCCTTGCGAGGCGAGGAATCCCAGTAGTTCTGTGAACCACTGCCAGAACGATTCCATGTCGTTCTCCCCTGACCATTTCTTGTCAGGGAATGCCAGCCCATTCTTTAGAGCTTCAGGCTTCACTCCTTCTGGGTAGGGAGTGAGTATTCTCACTTCAGCCATTCTTATGGCCTTTTCGTACCATTTCTCCAGGTACTCTTCTTGCTCCCCTGCCTTCGTGGGGTCGCTATCCAATGGAGATCTCTCCTTTGGGGGGTTTTTGCTGGGGGAAATCTTCCTTGCAGCATTTCTTTGGTTTCAGGCGAATTCGCCTGAAGTTGTATTTGTATTCTCTCATTGTTTTGAGAGGGTGTGATTGAGTTACCTCTCTGTTCAAGAGGTCCGTCATAAGTGGATGTTTGGCTGAACCTTTGGTACATGCCAATTCTCCTCCTAATCTCTGAACGATGCCTTCTTTCGGCATCGTCTTCTCCTATCCTTGGGAGAAGGATCTCCTTAGCATCTCTGTCGAGTCACTGATGATATTCCAGTGTGCTTTCACTGGTGGTTCTTTTCGTGAATTTTTCACGAGTTCTATTTATGTCCTGGACCGTGGTCCAGGGGTGTTTATTTGTTTCCTCACTCTTCTGTGAGAAATTTATTTCCTTCAGCAAGTTTGTTTGTTCGCTGATTTTTTCAGTCAATGCATCGATTGCGTTGGCCATTCTTTCTAGAGTTATCTCTAGACGAGCCGTACTATTATGGTTCATTTCCTCGATCTTTTTTTGGATCGAGTTTATCACGTTTATTATGTGCGATTCCTGGTTTTCCAGGAGGAAGTTTGGTTGGGCGAGCAGAGACTCTCCCCAGTTGACATTTCTGCTTCTGGGGGTTCCAGAATGGGTTCTTGGAGTGAACACTCCACGCTCGCTTTGTTTAGGCGAGGCCGTTGCGGAGGGTGCTTCCCTTTCATAGAGGGGTCTGTTCGTTGGTTTTTCCTTACTTTTGCGTAAGGCTTCCTCAGCGAACTCCCTCATTTCAGTTCGCCTCCTCTTCATTATCTCGGAGACCTCCTCCGAGGTTGGCGACCTTGCCTTGTCTGGCATGGTGTGTGGGAGTGTAAACAGCGGAAGTTCTTTTGGAGCTTCCATGCCCTGGGAGATCCTGCTCTCAGGGCGTATCTTCGTGCCTTCTCGGGCTTTTAGCCTGAGAAGAAGTTGGTCTTCACTTTCCATCCTCCATTCAGACGGAACCTGGAACAAGTCCAGTAGTTTTTCGGATAGCTGACACGGGGGCTCTTCCCTTTGTTTCCCTTTGTCTGCCTTTGGGGCTTGACTTGGGGACATGAGGGGGGACTCCAGGGGATAGTGGGGCCCTGGAGTTTCCTGCAACTCTATCCGATCAGCTTTTTGGGCTGATCGTTCGGCGCTTACACGTTTTTCGCGCAAGTCAATCACCTCGTGAGGAGGTGAGGGATCTTCCCCAGCTTGGGTTAGATCGGTATGTCGTGGAGTTCTGGGGGTATTTGGCCCCGCACTTACTCCACGTAAGTTTCTAAAACCTTCAGGGACCAGCCCTGAGGTGGTTGCTAATGCCGGATCATGTTGATCCTCGTCGTCGTCTGACAATGTAACGGGGATTTGCTGGTGTACCATAAACAAGCCAAATCCTGCGATTCTACCACCCTTAGCCAATGTTCCCTCCTACACATTTCTTATTTTTCCTGATTTTTCTGACTCCATTTCCACCTGATGTTTCCCCTTCTCATTGTTCTTTCCTTATTTGTCATTACCGGACTCTTCCATGATACCGTGACCAGCTGTATAGTTAGCTAGACAGTGAGGAGTAGTGAAATCCACTCCCAGTCAACGAACCTGTACATGTGAAAGGTTGCTTACTATTTTGGGGACGGTAACGTTCCGTTCCCCCATTCGCCTCAGGCCTCAGTAGGTCCGTCTAAACATAAGCTTTAATGAGCTGTATATTCAACGGGGTAGAGGTAAAAGGCTACCGGGCCTTTACAACTACTCCGAGGTATATATATGTAAATTACATATCTCGGCACAAATAAATAAAGAAATAACCACATCACCATAATGGGAATTATAGCGATGCAACATAATATAAATATCACTATAATCGGAATTATAGTGAAGTAAGGTTAATCCCTTACAACATGCGACCACTCCAACCCTCCCCCTCTCTTCTGTCTCGAGTCTAGTGGTGATAGACCCGTTACAACAATGGCTTTTGGTTTGAATCTCCCATGATGGGAGATTGCGGTTTCTTAATGAACCGCTCGTTTCTTTTTAGTGTCGCTGCAGATGCAACTTTGCCCTTGTGGGCGTGTTTAGGCGCCATAGGCGCTTCCAAGTCAGATGTTAAGATTATGTAGTTGTTGTGGGTTGTGTTGTAAAACACACCTCATACACTTAAAAAAGTGTGAGGTCTTTGGGTAGCTCAGCACACAAAGCCGTAAGTGATACAAGTATGTGTATTTTACGGTGGTGTGTAAGCAGTTACCCGGAGGTTTCCGCTTACCCATGTGACTATATGTATCTAATTTACATATGACTCGGGGTTCGGGGCTATTGCCCTGACAGGGATCAAGAGTATGGAAAGGGTTATGGCTCCTATGAGTTATGGTAGACCGTGGGCTGCAGGACTGTTGGACCTCCAGCATATGCCAGTGTGATTCAAGTTGCCACAGTATATCCTTCCTAAACTCATCCCATTCACATTGCTCCTGGATGGATTGGGACGCAAGGATATGCACACCAGGGACTTCCTGTTTGAGGTCAATTAAGAACAGGCTTGACAGACCAAAGGAGTCGAGTACTCTCATCTATGATGTGGCACTGAGCAGCTTACATGACCAAAAATCGTTACACTCACGGCAGGGATCATGTTCTCAAGCAATTTGTCAATTTTTTCGAGGTGCTGATAGATGTGTTTGCGAGCAAGTCCTTTGACCTTGGCCTCTAGAACATCAGTGGGTACATTGTCTTTTAGATTCTCTCCTTTGATATGTTTTCTATCTGGAATCAGTTAGGTAGAAATGGGAGACCTCAATATCGAACAACTCACAATCAATTTTCTGGGCATGCCAAAATGACTCTAAAAAGGTGTCACTGACACCAGAGTTCTCAAGGATCACCAGGTCGCTGGTATCCCAGCCATTTTCCAGTGCCAGCAAGTGGAGATATCGCTTGAATGCAGTTTCGGCACTCAGCCTCATGGCATACCATGGTGGGTTTATCTCAGCTATGTACTCTGGTGAGTTTTGATAAAAAAACAAGCAAACGAGAAACTAAGAGGCTACTTACTGTTATCCATGCCAGTTCTGTGAATCAACAGCCAAGCAACCACATAATTGGGTTGAACAAATATAATTAAGTTGCAACCTTGACCCACTGCCACAAATTGCGACTGGTGACACAGCATGTTAGCAGAATAATCTCTAATGGATTCAGGCTCGTTGACACAGTGTACAGTACAAGCTTATGTGATCTTGTCTTCCAGTAATTCAGATGTAATTTGCTGTGGAAGGCTCTGGCTTGTGGTATGCAGGGACAAATTGCCCTTCATCGGGCATGATCCTGACATTTGCCACCATCACTTGATTGTGGCATTTTGCTTCAATGGAACACAGTGGGGCAGATGAGTGACAGGGAAAAGGAAGGGAAGGATTATTGATAAACTACATAATTACAGAATTATTGAATAAATCAACGAGTTTATCAATGGCAAGCTGTGACTGTGCTTCATCTTCTTCCTCAAGTAGCCCATCATTCATGGGGTCACCATCATCTGGCTGCTGCACATCTGCCATCTCAATCTCAGGAGGTGCATCTGGTTCAACATTGGGCTCTTGGCCAGTGTCGGAGTCACTTGTCTCGAAGCAAATGGAGGTGCCGGGTCCACAGGGGGAAAGGTAGTTTGGACGATGCTCCAGAGAGGACAATTTCTTGTGGAGGTGGGCGTTTGCCTGTATGCGCCACTTGAAAGTCATTGAGATGTATGAGGCAATGACAGGGTTGCTGGCAGTTACTGCCTCGATAGTTTCCTTAACCTGTAATTCCTCATCCCTTATGGCAGTCAGTATTCTACGAGCATCAATTCCAATTATGACAAGCTCCTCTTTTGCACATTGGAGCTTTATCCAGGCACAGGTTGCCTCACGGAAATGCTCCTGGGCCCATTCGCATGACTGAATGTCATCACAACCCTGCAATAGCTCAACTATACTTGGAAAGTTGGGGTGGGTGATATCATCCCAAGTGAGGGAAGGTTTTGGAGGGATCAGCGCTGCTGCGGCACTGTTATACTTCTCGAGGGTGGAATGGAGCGCCCTGCTTCACTTTCCAATCAGCTGTGATATGCGTTGACGGGTTTTGTAGTCTAACATTGAGAAAATCAAGATGATTTCTGAAAACTGCAATGGAAATGCTCACCAGTCTTCAGAAGGCCCATCTTTTCCAACTCAAACTGATGGGAAATAGCGCGGTGTTCCAAGTCATCAAGCAGGCGATGATACCTCCTCTCACTGTGCAGCTGGATGGCTTCATGGCACTGAGGAGAATCCACATGCCATGGTAATGCAAGAGATGATGTTGCTTCCAGTGCAGAGACAATGCAGCGTGCTTCTTCCACCTTGCGCTGAACACACAAGGCTTGGTATGCAAGTTCCGAAGTTGGTGATATGGACAGTGTTAACAGCAGTGGCCAAAGCTCCATCCTATCCAAATTATCATAGGTCAGAGCACATGTTGTGTGGGCAGTAACTCACTCAGTACTTTCCAATTGTTCCAGTGCATCGAGGTATTCGATTTTGGCTTGTTTGGCCTTTGGCTCTGACTTCAGAGACATGATGTACTCCTTTTCTTGTTGTAAGAACAGTGGACAGTCCCAGTCAGAATCGAAGGTTGGGTGCATGTGTTTCGTCGTGTCTAGGATAGCCATGGATTCATGGATCTGTGTCCATGCAGAGGTGTGATTTCCCAACAGGAAGTTGCCTGGCTGATGGGTTAGAACTAGATAGCATAAATAGCACTAACCCTCACCTAAGCGCTCATACTTATCCTGGTCCCATTTCTCGAAGTGAAGGTGGATCTGGAAGTGGTGGTAATATGCAGAAGCATGATGGGTTACTGCTGCGATGCCATTACTTGAGGAGAAAGCTCGTTCATTACCTTCCCCATCTTCGATACCCGCCCCTTCTTTGAAACCTGTGAGATGATTAAGTTGACACAACCTACTGTGTGCAACACCATGGAAGGAGCCAGTACAGCACGTGAAATTGGCCCGAGGTGCAGCATAGCAGAGCGGGAAAGTGTGATCGAAAAGGTGCATCCAACATCGTATGCAAAAAGGATATTGCTGCCAAATGTACTCAGCAGTTTATTTGCTGCTGCCACTGGGTACTTTGCCCTTGCAACCAGAGTAGATAAGCAGGTAAATTGAAGCAAGAAAGGAAACTTACAATTCACCACTCTTGACCATGTCCATGATAAACTGCACGATTCCATGGTGGCAAATAACTAGAAAGATGCCGGTTTCATCCATGACACTGAGGGATCCAGCTTTCATCATTTGGGGCATTGGCCGAGAGTTCTTCCATCCAACACACGATTCCGGGGGTGGGTCATCGGGTCCAGCCAGCTGAATGAAGCTTCATGCTCACCTGCAATAAATGTCAGCCATACCATTGAGGGAAGCTGGGATTGTTTTTTCGTATTTTGAAACATGTCTACCTCTGATCGAGGTAGATAGTAGTCACTAAGGAAAGTCCGAGGGTCGGACTCAGACCTGTGGGGGAGGCGTGATAAGGAAGTGTTTCCATCGCCTGTGACAATCAAATTAATGGGGTGCTCAGGCTCATCGTGAAGCTAGAATAGGAGATATTAGTAAGTGGTCAGGAAAGGGTGCAGGACATACCTTGTAAGACATGAGTCCCTGAGCCAATAATCTGGTGTATCACATCCCATGAGGCGCTTTATGAAGGCATTCACTCTTGTAATGATAGCATAGTATGCATCAAAGGCTAATGAGACCTGTGTACAAAAGTATGGTTGATATACAACCTGACAAAAGGGTGCTGCCAGACAACAAAGCCGTTATATCCATCATATACACACTCACGTGGTGCAAATCGGCCAGCAATCGGGCAAATGACTGGACACTGAAGCCAGATGAGGCACACATTAGACAATGAAGGAGCTCGAGTGAACATATTGAGATTGCTACAGTTGGATTGATGGGAGTTGGTGGGATATAGCCTGAATGGAGAATGGCAGATGTCGGTGAGGTTTCATCTGGGTCTTGAGGAATGTGTTCGTATGACCATCCATCTTCAGAAAACTAGCATCTTGTGAGTGTTTCCAAACAGAATAAGGCCTTACCAAAGACATCAATGACGTAAATATGAACAAAGTTCGAATTTTCAGGTGGTTCTGGGTAATGAAGCAGCATACAACAAGGATTGCTTGTCTTGTACCTCAAGTAAATGTCAGAGAGACTGGGTATCAATGCCGCCCAGTGTGCTTGTGACGCCTGGATTCTATTTCGCCATGAGAGTCCTTTGGTTCATCTAAACAGATGCAAGATGGAGTAACAGTTAAAACAGAAACAACATAATACTTACTGCTTTGGCTGGAGTAGTGTCACTACATCAGCAAGCTCTTCACAAGTCATGTCTAGGGAATAGTCGATCGTGGGCTCATTGAGGCTGACACTCCAATCATCGCTTCCAGTAAGGTCAATTTCATTCCTAATATCATCTACCAGTGAAGAAATGGCTGGGGAGACACCTAAGATGACGATTATGACCTTACACGCATTATCCACAGGCCACATCACCTTCGAGAATTGAGGACTGTGCATCTTGAAACCTCTTCCAAGCTGTCTTGTGCACGATGAGCCCAGATTTGGTTGTATTCAGTGTACCAGTCACGAAATTTGTGTTAACAAGCCTAGTTTTCCACTTTGGCATCATGGGCACAGTTGGCATTGGCAACGATGATGACGATGCCTGAGAAGAGACACATGATGAAAGGGTTTAGACGCCAGCACTATTTGTCTATTAGTATAAATAGTATAATTGAATATATACACAGTATACAGTGTGCTGGGATTCTGGGAGCATTCAGAGCACGCAATGTTCATATAGAAAATGTATGAAGCACCTTATATATACAAGGGATTCAGAGAGCATTTGGAGCACAGGTGATTCCATATTGAGAGTGTATGAAGTATCTATATATGGCTAGGATTCTGAGAGCATGCAGGGCATGCTCAGAAAAGGTGGTTTGGTATCTAAGGAGGTATCGGAACCCCCCCCTGACTACGATACCTAGTTACATTGATCCCATGATGAGTAATAGGTGAAGCTCAGCCATCCAGTTTGAGGGGAACCCTCATAATAAAAGTAGCCTGGTATGAAGGATGTGCCAGATGCACTGCAAATTGGAGGCTGTGTTAGTGCCGACCAAGCTGCGCTTCCAATATACACAGTGGATCAAAGTAGACACACCATTTTTTTTGCACACCACTGCAAATTGGACCAAACTGAATCTAAAGTGAAATTTGTTTCAAGTGAATGAAGTCCCTTAATTTCCAAGAACAAGAACCTGTGCGGCTGCATGTGGTGGAGCGCTCAACATAGGGCTGTGCACAGCAGTCCAGCTGAGAGTATAAAGCTTATACTTGACCTGTGTTTGGTGTGCTTGTACCTGCACTCGACTGGATCTGATGGCAACCGCTCTAGTTATCAACGCCCTTCTTGCCCCCAATATTTATTCAGTGCCCGATGGTTGTAATGATCTCCAGAATTGCCGAACGATGTGGAGCATCATCTATGGCTGTCTCCTTACTGTCTTTGCTTGCATTTGGACGGCGGTGCACCCAGATATACCAGAGCCCTCTGGTGGTATCTGGCCCCCACACAAATTGCGCTTTGGCTTGATGATGATTTCACTGGTTTCACCAGAGGCCATTTGTCAGGGCACACACCCTGACTAGCCCGGACCCGGACCCGCATCCGGACCCGCTTCCACCTGCCACACTTCCCACATGCATGCACGCTCCGCACGCCACATGCTCCGGGCCCGGTTCCTACCCCTTCATGTGACTTCCGGGTATCCCCGGAAGTTTGCCTGATATTGTGGCCACTGTGGGAAGATGAGAAGTTAGCTTCCTTCTCATCTTCTTACCCACAGTAGGCAAGTGTATCTACTTGCCTCTTCATTTATACATCTTCTTACCCACAGTAGAGTTGTGCCCTGGACAGGGCTGGTTACACTACAGGCTGTGGACCATAGGGGAGGGTCATGGGGACCTGGGAGTCATCCCCTGACACCATTGTGGCAACTACATGGTACCAATTCTTGTTGTCTTGGAGAATATCAAAAAAATATAAGATGGTTGAAGGTGTGTCCTGAATTTGAGGAAATGCACAAGTTAGGAAGGGACGAGGCACTGACTTGTACTTGTCACAAAGGGTGGACCTTGATGCATTCATACTTTGTCGCCATGGATGGTTTCTTTGACCCATCAAAAAGAAATGAAAACGAAGGAGAAGCGGTGGACCCAGATGACTTGGAGTGATACCCCGGGATAATTAAGAAGACCGGGAATACTAGAAAGGCCGCAATAACAAAGAAGGAAATTCTTGACAGAAGCAAATGCAATGCGTTTTCGAAATTTATCATTGTCCTTCCACTACTATGGTTTATCACTCAATATGTCGGACGATGGGCAAGCCATTTGCACAGCTTGCAACTCGAGACAATGACACTGGCATATGCGGCATTAAGTCTCTTTGTTTATGTGCTGTGGTTGTCAGACACCAGGTTTGAGATGAAGGAAAGTCTCCATGGCGGAGGGCTTCAGCCTCAGCGACTTATGCCAAGAGCACTGTGCCTAGTAACACATCCGTGCCCTAACTTACTAACTGGCAACCAGAACTGAAGGGGGTTAACTCTAGTCGATTTTATTCCTGAAGTGTAACCTATGTACAAGCTGGATATATATATGGTTACAGCGAAGATGGGTCCGCAAATGGCAGAGCCGAACGGAGCGGAGCTAACAGGGTTAAACATTAGCCAACTGAATATTACCGACGAGTCAGGTCGCGGGGTTAACGGAAAGGCAGGCGATAACCCAGAAACGGAAAGGAGGGATAGGCCCGAAGGTGGGCTCTGCAGGGCAGGCGAGTGTATTGCTGTCAGGGCACACCCGCCTGACCCCACTCCACCTGGTCCGACCCCACCCGATCCCACTATCCTCACCCGCTGCCCCCATCCTCCCCTCTCCTTTCTCTCCTTCTCCCTTTCCCTTTTCCTTCTCTTTCTTCTTTCCTTTCTTTCTCCTTCTTTCCTTTCTACTACACGGACGACTTCCTTGCTCGATGTACCATTAACCAGGCTGCGCAACACGCCCGGACCCGGACACACCAGGTGACGCCCTACACACTGGACGCGCCTGAGACCTCTTACGGAGATACCTGGGCGGACATGGCTGTGCGTGTAGATGACGTGGCGCTCCCCATGTGACCTCCAACTGCATGTACACAAACACAGCCTAAGTGGGAACTGAGAAGCAACCTTCTTCTCACACTTCCCACTTTAGGCAAGTAGCTTACATTCCCCTGCTAATAATAATAACACACTTCCCACTTTAGTCTAAGTGGCCACGGACCCTCGCCTGCTTCGGGCCCGTTGTTATGCATGCCCGCACCGCACCCTACTGGGCCCTCATCCCCGGGCGATATACCCGGACACTCTCGACCCTGGGTTGGTCCCTGACAATTGCCCAGCAGAGGTGGGAGTGCGCTAGCGGACGTCGGAGCTGTCCGGAAGTCTTCGGGGCTCCGTACTTAGGGAGGCATAGGTAATAAATTGAAAGGAGGGGGTGATGACCATCGAGGGGTACCGAGGGGATTGCGGAATACGGGAGCTCCGAGGTTAGTGAAGAAGGAGCGGAGGTAGACCGGAGGGATCGGAGGGACCGGAAGTCGATGGCTGGGGATGGATATGACAGTATCCCCTTCTTAGGCCTGAACCCTTGAAGGCCCAGAATTAGTAAGGTGAGGGGAGCTGTACTTACAGAAAGAAAAGATGAGAAAATGAAAATGAAAACGGAAGTGAGGAGTGGAGGGAAAAGGAGAAATGGAAGAGGAGTCGGGGTTCCTAAGGAGCTTCGGGTCCAGGCTTATCTGGGTACCGAGAGTGGAACGCTTTGACGAGGTCGGAGGCGTGATCGAGTTCGCCGGCAAGGAGCCATTGTGTCTCCTCATCGGTCCCTTCATAGCCTAGCCACTTGACCAGGTAGAGCAACTTGTTGCGTCTACGTCGGTCGATCTTGGAGTCGAGTATCTCCTCGATCTCAAACTCCATCTCGCCTTCGATTTCTACAGGAGGTGGAGGTGGTTGGTGGTGGTTCGGAATGATGTTCGGGACGGAGGGTTCGATCTGCGAGACATGGAATACTGGGTGAATGGCTCGCATGTTTTCCGGCAGGCGGAGAGTGAGGGAGTGGGTTCCAACGTGGGCGATGATCTCGAATGGGCCGAGGTTTTTCTCGGAGAGCTTTTTGGAAGGTCGGGTGGAGCAGAAATACTTGGCCTTTACATAGACTGAGGTTCCTACTTCGAAAGCTGGGGCAGGACTCCAATGGGAGTCTGCCGGGCCCTGATAACGGATCTGAGCGAGATGCATTTCCTCGCAAAGGAAGTGGTGGAGGGAGTCGAGATCAACAGAGTACTCTTGGGTGCATACTGATGTCAGGTCTCGCTCCGGGTGAATGGTGATGTTCGGATGGTAGCTGTCATATCCGTGCATACCCGACCCCGACCCGACTTCCGGACCTCCACCCTCTTCACCTCCGGAGTCATAACCTACCGCTGCCTTTCCGATACTCACCTTCGGTCTTGGCAACACACCCCTCCTCTTACCTCTCCGACCCCTTCTCCGTCCGTTCCGATACTCATCTCGGACCGAACATCGCCCTACTCGCCACCCTTCCTACAACTCCGCTCCCCCCTCACCACACCTCCACCCTCCCGTCATCCCCTACGCTTTCTCCGTCCGTTCCGATATCCACCTTCAGACCTGACTACTCTTCCTTACCTGTCCCCTCTCTCCTTCCTCCGTCACTCCTCCGCCACCCTTCCGCCAAGTTACGACCATCCACCGCTGTTCCGTACTTCACACTCGGACACCGTTCGTACCTTACTCCGAGCCTCCGTCATAGTCCATACCTCGGACTTTGACTCCACCTCGGTCTTAGTCCATTGCATTGGTGACCTCATACTACGTAAACACCATTGCCAATATTCCTCGGACTTCCAACCCCGCCTCCGTAACCTCCGTAAGCTCCGCAACCCCCAAGCTTCGCGGACCGCCTCCAGCACTCTCACCGTTTGTAATGTATTTCTCGCAATTCCCCCTCATCCCTATTTGGACTACTGCTTCCTTCTATTCTAGCCAGTTAGTCATCACCCCCACTTCCCCTCATCCTCCTGCCCCTCTGGGCCTTGCCCACTCTACCTCCTTTCGGATGTATCACAGGTCTTGCCCTATGACCTTCGGTACCGCTCCGCTCCCTCTAACCCTTTGTTCCCATTCGGACGTCTTCGTTCCGATTCGGTCACCCTTTGTTTCTCCTTGTGCTTTTGCCCCTTCCTTATATATATCGGCGCTTGTACATACTCGTCTGGTTTCAGTCCGAAATCGACCTGAAATGCCCCCAAGAGACTTCCTGCTCACCTACTGTGAAATTAAGGACCAAATGGACAAACAGCAATGGCACAGCGCTCCGCTTGAGTCGCTGAGGCCAAGGTCCCTCCACGCTAAGTCTCCGATTCCACTCCGGAGTCGTCCGTT